TTTGTGATATGCGGATCCATACTCATTTACAAGGAGTACTCCACTTTTGAGAAAAGGCTCATTTAACAACTCCTCCTGAGTTTACCTATTTTTTATCCATTCCGCATATCTCTGGGTCTGGTTCAAGATCTTTTAGCTTAGCATAAATCATTGAATCGGATTAGACCATAAGCAACTCTCTCAAAATGACAGGAGTTTTAATAATTTTCCAATTTAAGGCTGGAGTCCTTTGTGGTTTCATTTTGTAATAAGTAGGTACACACCGAATCTGTGCGTGCAAAAATCCACAGATTTTTAGCTCATCATTGAGCCTATTTATTTACATCTGTAAAAGTGTGTAAATGTACATTTATTCTGTTTTTTTTTGTAATTTCAGTAATATTATTGACAAATTTTGAAGTGTTCATTTGATTCATATACAATGCAGTTTGTAAAGTAATATTTTCTGTCATTTAGTAGAGATATTATGTGAGAGTCTTGCTTTGTTTACCAAACAAGTGGATCTAAATGGATTTGCATTTTAAACATTAAAAAAAAACTACTATTTTTCATTTCATGTATTCATTTTTAGTTATGATACCCAAAAATAATTCTCCATAAATCCGCAGATTTTTTTATTAAGTCTCCACAGAAATAGCAAAAAAGTCCCTATTTTAGCCTGAATTAGATTTAACTGAAAAAAAAAATTACCTGTTAATATTAGCATGATCATTATGTAATTAAATATTTTTTAAATGCTAATAATAAAGTTTACCTCTATAATTTCTGCAAAATCGCTAAACATTGACATTGTAAACATAAAAAAAAAATTGACATTTTAAACACTGTTTTTATGCGTTTCTCCTTTTCGTTCTTTTGCACGTTATAACCCTTTTAATTTTGTGTAATCTAATAAACATTCCTTGTTCCATAAAATTACATCAATTGATCACATAAACATTAGCTACGTTTCAATCCACCTATTTTTATGAGCCATTTTTTATATTCACATAAAAAAATCAGTTGATAAAAACGCCAAGACGCGCAAAAATTATGATAAATGCACATAACTGAGTAGGATAAACTTTTTATTCGATATGAAGAGATAAACTATGATGGAAACCAATTTCAGTATACCGTTAAAAAGGTCATGTGATTTTGTAATAAAGGATCATGTGATGATAAAAATGTGTCAATGGACAAACCAGCAGGCTGAGCACACTGTAAAATACCTGAAACGTTGTTTTGGTCATTCTAAAACACTTTTACCAATTTCTTGCACGTCTTTTATGCAATGTTTCAGTTTTACGCATAAATTTAATTTGCGTTTTTTGGATGGAAACATAACTACTGATATATGAACACAATAAAAACAAACCACTTTCTAACCAAGCACAACAAAATCTACCACAACTGCTAAATCTGAAACCTTTACACAAGCTATCTAATTAGGAACACAATTGTTGGTTAACAGGAAAAAACAAACATCTGCAAAAACTATTAAAGGGCAAGATATAAGTCAGATGCCAATCCTCACCATTTCTAATCATGGCTAGATAAAGAACGTTTTCTGGTTGTGACAAACATATCTCTGAGAACTCTTGGAAAAGTGTTTCAATGAGCAACTTGCATCCAACTGCTAATGTAATTTCAATGGTTCACAATCTCCTGAAAATAGACTACTGCATCAATAAGGACACCACTTGAACCTTCTAGCCGTTTCTTCCTGTTTCTTAAGACCTGCTCCTTAAACTAATTAGAGTGGATAGTGAAGATCACCTACTGACCTTCATAGTAGATCAGCACAGAAGTTCACCAGACTCAGTAGACCAATATTTCAAAAGTGTAAGTATATAAGGGAAGACAATGCAACCAGTCAGTCATTATTGCTAAATAAACAGTCATGAGTGATCTCATGATGATTATATACACTTGTGGCTGGGCTAGAAAAACGTTTTTTTTTTACAACTGAAATTTTTAGAGAAACCAAACCAACCCACTACAAGGTGAACAAAAATATTACACTTTAATTTGAAGAATAAAGTAATAGAAAAATCAAACAGAAAGACAATGTTATAAAGAAAGTGTACTACTTGCATGTGGGAAAGAATTTCTGTCAGAGGAGGCATTGAAGTTTAAACTGAATAAAAATGAGAACTTGATTACATCTTGTTTGTCCATCTTTGATCAGAAGAAGGTTTTCTATTAAACTGGGTTATGTAGTTTCTCACAAGAAATTATACAGTTAAAAGAAAATAGAAGGAAAAATATAAATAAGACAAAACAAAAACAAGAAAGCAGGCTGGTGGCTAAACATGCAAATACAATTACTTGGCATTAAAATTAATGGAGAACAATAGAGGGAAAATAAAGGAGATTTGCACTGGATTAGGAGTTAGTTCTGAATTAAAAAGAAACTAATCATCACTTTAGACAAATAGAGGAAAGAGGAAAAACAAGGTGTTTATGATTTTTAAATATAGCTCTAAAATAAGACTACAGAATTAATTGTCTTGATGCACTTTTTATATTTGTGAAACTAAATAGACAGTAGGCATGGACTGGAATAAGATTCTCACTGTATGATAACCTTGGATAATATCACAGTTTCGCTGTATTGTGAACACTGCTCTAAAATATATTATTTTTATATATGTCTGGGTAAAAAACAATGTTTTCCCCTTTAGAACACAAAATATTTTACTTTGAGAAATGTTTAAAATATTGTGGTGCAGTGAACATGTCAGGCTAAATAAATCGAATGAATCACTGACTTTTGCAGTCTTCATTGGTTTCATAAACCCTGATTTCTTTACAATAAAAAAAAAAATGTCAATAAAAAATCTTACATATACTGTAGCAACAGAATAGTAGAACATTTTGGCGGTTTTAAAACCTTGACTTTTCCAACCTGCAGTATACCTTTAACGCGGTTATCGTCCCATGCCTAATAGACAGTTACCCAAAATGTATATTCTCTCAATATTTACTCAAACTTGATGTGTTCCAAACATGAGGGGCTTTTTTATACAAAAGAAGATATTTTGGTGAATGTTGGATACATGTAACCATTGACTTATACAGTATTTTTTTTTCCATGGATGTAATTACATGTTTCCAAAAATTTTTTTGTGTTTAACAGAACAACAACAACACCAACAAAACTCAGCCTGGTTTGATACAAGTCAAAGGTTCAAAGGTGAGTAAATAGTAGCTAAATCTTTGGGTAAACTGTTTTTCGCTTTAAAGCACAATCCACGTTAGGTTTTTTTTTTTACAGAAAATTCCATGAAGAATCTCACTATGTGTGAATGAAGCATATAGACATGTTTATCTCTGCTTACGTCTCACAACTGTAAAAGAGTAGTTTTGAATTTCTCCATCATTTTTCAACTTAATTGTGTCACTTTTGCAGTGTTTGATTTTAGAGCATTCTCTCTTTAAAGCTATTAAAGACACAGGAAAATAAAAGATACAAGGCTATCTCTGATTCCATATACAGTGCTCAACATATACGAGTTCACCCCTTGCAAATTTCTCATTTTAATTATGATTCGCTTAAGGAAGCTTTACAATATTATATTTGCTTAAAATATTGTGGAAATATTTTGCATGAATTTCAATGTATTATCTTTCTATTTCTAAAGCTTTTCGGTGACTAACATTATTTTAATAAATATATGCATTTAATAAATATGTTGTTTAAATGCACCAAAATGCATTGCCCATATTCACTAAGAAATTAATACAAATATTCATCTTTAAAATGGGGTGTACTCATACGCTGAGCACTGTAATCTAAGTTTAAAAAGTTGTGATTAATTTGTTGTTATGTTTTGTTCTTGGCTTAAAACACATTTTAAAAATCCCTATGAAAAAAAATTCTACAGAGCATAAAGCCAGGCACAAATGCAAATTTCTGTCCTGGAAGAGAACCAGTAGGTTTTGCAATACCATTTTATTTAGAAAATGCAAAAGGCAAACATAAAGTGGATTAATAGTGATCAGTAACCGGTTTGGCGTCATAAGTAAATAGTTACCGGTTTTGGCGTATTTTTAATAATCATAACCATAGTGTAACTGTGATGCTGAACAGCTGGTCTGCCGCTTACGTGCTCAGTCTGAAACAAAAGCCGGTGAAGCTTCATCGTAGCACGTGAACGAACTCATCGTTTTCTTGCATTGTGGTAATACGACAACGCTGTACAGGATCTTTCCGAGTTTTCCAAATGAAAACTATTGGATATAATTTTAGAAGTTGTACCTTGGATTATAGAAAGAGAAATGTTTCTAAGGGTCAACGTGAGGACAATGAGTCCGCGCCTGTATGTGTCGCTGGAACGACAACGTGATTAAACAACATGGCCGCCTCCATGCTCAACCATTCTGACCTTTACTAACAGCTCTTACAACAGTAACAAATGAGTACTTACTACTGCAACATTATACAATATATTGTAATTATACATGTGTATGCATTTAGCAAGTGTATTCCCTTTAACAGACCGATTTACTTAAACAATAAAAATTGACGCGTAAATCGCGTTAAACTGCTACTAAAACGAGTAAAGTGCAAATTTTAAACAACAACACATGGCATTAACGTCATTGATATACGCGCTTTCGAGGTTTGACGTTGAAATAATTCCAGTTTCTGCCACTAATAGAACTTTGGGGTTCATCGTGGCATCTTTCTAGGTGAAAGGTCAACATGGATTACCAAAGCTCGTTTAACGTTAAATTGCCGTTTTATACACATTATACGACACACAACGAGTCGCCTAGTTACTGAGTTCTAAACCCAAGCATGTTAAATGCAGGAAAGCGATCACAATGTTCAGAAAGAGGGAGGTTATTTCAGGTGAGGGCTGGACTGAACGTCCCTCACACCCCCAACATCAACAAATGAGTGCTGACATTAACCCATGAAGGTCATTTTCATAGTTAAAAGTCCCTAAAAGAACAAAACATCCCAGAGCTTTCATTTTCGACATGAATCTCGCTGATTTCCACTCACTCACCCAAGACATCCGCGGACTTGTGTCGGGCGATGAAGCAGGCATCATCCCCGTAGCACATGCCTTTCTTCAGGATCCCCTTCCGAAAGTCCTTTCCGAAGCCGCAGCTGGCCGTGATCAGACTATAGTCTCTGCCGTCCGTTTGCGAGAGTCCGCCCAGGACAGCCCTGGCAACGATCCTGCCATAAGAAAGTACCGATAACATCCCCTCTGCCGGTGTACGGTAAGCGTGTACCTGCCGAGCCCGTCTACGATCCGCGCGAGGGTGCACAACCTGAGGCTCTTTGCACCAACATTCGCCGCAGATCAACCGCACGAGCCAAAACAAGTGATCCTAGAGTCCCTTCTAAATGGCGGACGATGGAAATATATGGCTGTTTTTTAAGTCTTGGTGGATTTCACAGACGAAGTTCCTCCAGAACACTCCATCCTATCTAACATCCTCCCGCGGACTTGCTCACATTCCCGTCGGTCACCAGCGCCCGTGTTCCGCACATACGGGCTCTGCTGAGCTCACGTGACGCGCTGATGTCAGAGCGTAGTGGAAACCTGAAGACGTAGTGGAAGAACATGTGCTGGAGCGTTTTGAACTGGACATTGATACTTTTGCGAAGGAGCATCTGATGTAGCGTTTGTTTATTTTTTCCATTGCATGCGGTATGAAGCTATTCTTGACTGAGACACTTCAGTAAGATGAAACTGAACGTTAACCTGCTTTGAAGTTGTCCTGTACAGCAACTGAACGTTTTAATTGAATAATACTTTGACGTTGTGTCTCGGTAGGGCTGTTATTCATTCATTCATTCATTCATTCATTTTCCTTCGACTAAGTCCCTTTATATCAGGGTCGCCACAGCGAAATGAACCTCCAACTTATCCAGCATATGTTTTACACAGCAGATGCCCTTCCGGCAGCAACTCAGTACTGGGAAACACACACTCATACACTACAGGCAATTTAGCTTATTCAATTCACCTATAGCACATGTCTTTGGACTGTGGAAGAAAAGGAAGGAAACCCTGGAGGAAAGCCACACGAACATGGGGAGAACATACAAAACTCTACACAGAAACACTATCTGACCCAGCCGGGACTCAAACAAGCAACCTTCTTGCTATGAGGCGACAGTGCTAACCACTGAGCCACTTGTTGCCCGAGGATTGCTTGTCATCGATAATTAAAATTGAGTAAAGTAAAACAAAAAACATTGAGTTAACTGAATAAACATTTTGAGAATTTTAATATGGGCTTTTAATATTTTTCTGCTTCTGGTAGTACCTAGAATAGCAAAGTCGAGTAAAGGAGGTAGAGCCTTCTCATTTATGGCTCCTAAACTTTGGAATAGCCTTCCTGATAATGTCGAAGGCTCAGACACACTCTCGCAGTTCAAAACTAGATTAAAGACCTAGCTTTTTTTTAGCAAAGCAAACACTTATCACTTAGCAGTTTGATATATGAATGTGCTCCACACAGGGTTTTGCATCTTGTTTATATACACTATGAACAGCAGCTACGCTAGTTGATCTCTTTATTTTCTATTTCCACCTGGGGATACTCATCCCGAGGTCCTCAGACTATGCAGCGCACTGATTCGATCCAAGACCAGCGATGAGATGATCCCAAGGTTCCATAATCCTGGAGCAGGCCGTATCCTGAGCAGCTGCTGTGGTGGTCATGGAGGAGTGGAGAGCTTGAGACTGATTCCTGTGACGTTCCAGGGACAGATGAGTCTTCGCTGAGGTCCAGAATTCTCCAGCCTCCAGCACCTTGACTGCAAGTCTGCACAAGAAGTTTGACCATAGAAGAAATGGTTGTGCCCAACTGAACCTGGTTTCTCTTGAATTTTTTTAATTTCTTCACTTTCGCTAAATTTTGAATATTTTCCCCGCCGCTGTCGCCACTGACTTGAATGGTTCGGCACCTGTAGAGCTGCGCATCGATGGATTTGCTCTTCAGTGTTTGAACTCTCAGTAGTGATTATTAAACCACACTGAACTGAACTTAAACATTGAAAACTGGACTAACTCTGTTTTAATTTACTATGATTTTCTATGTGAAGCTGCTTTGACACTAACTACATTGTAAAAGTGCTATAGAAATAAAGGTGAATTGAATTAATATGTAACTGGATTTAGACCTACTGGATGCTGCCATTTAAAGCATTTTCTTTTCTTTCAGAAAATTAAAGTTGGTTTGAATGACAATTTTTCTTTTTTAGTGACTGAAAATGAGTTATTCTGCCTTTATATAATGGGGTATATGCAAAAGAAATATACATTTTTAGTAATCTGGGAAAAGCATATTCGATTAACTGTATGCCGTTACAAAATCGGCAAGTTTAAGTTTAAGTGATATACAATATAAAGTGGGTCTCAGAGTGTACAAGCAGGACTGCATTTAATTACATTTTTCCCTGTCATGTCTTTAAAATATGGACGTTTATTTTACCCCAGTAAATTCAATGTAGTTTCTCCACTAGCCTGCTGATCCTGACAGCAAACGAAATCAACGATGAAGTCTATTTAACTGGTTGTATTTTAATTACAACATCAATGCTGTAAAAAAAAAATATTGAAAAAAATCACAATAACCGTTTACCAGAAGTGAATCATTATGGTAAGAAACACTAGCTCTGCATGTTTCCCATTAGCACTTCTTGTGTGTATAGCCTCTTGTTGTTGAATCACTGAACACCGCCTCAATAGTAAGTTGCTTTGATCTAGAGCATCTGTAAATGTAAATTTAAATTTCAACAAATCTTGATTTATTGACTTTTTGAACTTAAAATGTTGGTATTGTAAAGTTAGTATAAACATGTCTGAAAATAGACTTGTTCTAAATTAAAAATATTTTTTCATTATTATTATTTAAAATAAAAATGCTTTTTAGCCATTTTTGTCGCGTGTGTGTTTGTTCGTTTGTTCTTATGTCAGCTATTCGCAAGAATATATAATTGAGTTTTGGGTAGTTTGACTCAAAAATAAAATGCTAAATAAAGTAATATTTGTTTAAAGCATAATTATAATAAAAACAACCAAAAAGCCCTGACAACATTTGCTAAATTATAATGTAAAAAATAAAATATGAAAATAAATTCAAACTTTTAATAAAAAACAAAATAAATCACTGATTGGAGATTTGTGCATTTATTGTTATACATATTTAATATTTTAATTGTTATTTAAAAATATATTAGTATTTCATTTATACAATTACTGGATGTTTTTTATATAGCAGTCTTTTGTGTAGCAGTTATTATTATTATTATTATTATTAAAACATATTTGCCACAATAAAAATGGTTGAATGTCCTGCACCTTCCCACAATGCATTTCACTTCCTGGATACAGCTGAAAGCGCGCTGTAACCAAGCATGGCGGTGTTCTGTTATCTTGTTATTCTGATATATTTACAAACCTCGCTCTACACCGAAGACACGAACACAACACAAAATATTAATATAACACTCGAAGACTTAAACCACACGTCAAATTATCGAGATGAAATGCTTAACATCACGGAGCTGGGAGTCAGTCCTACTGCAGCAGATTTACCCGCTCCGACTGACAGGACTCCCGAATACGTGACCGGATTACCGGATCTAAACGAGTCCCCGAAGAGCCCGATCCCTGATTCCCCGCAAGCCACCGCAGCGCCTATTCCCGTGTCCGGTGTCCCGCCGGTCCCCGTCACTGAAGGTAAGAGTGCGGAAAAACTGATCCGAGTTGTCAAATGAATGTCAATATCAATAGGGTAAACAACAGCATAGTAATAACATAAGAATTGTAACAATTATTTTTATTACAAGTTTAAATACGCAAATGAGGCATTAGATGTCAGCCCTGATTGATTCTGTATTCAGTCTGTTTACTGTATAGGTAGGTAGGTAGGTACTTTATTTATACCCGAAGGTAGATTTGATTTGCAGTCAAGAGTCCTCATCTCACAACAGTGCCACACAAAGCAACTCACACAGTAACAACAACAAATGCACATTAAAACATAAAACGTAAACAAAAAGAATAAATAAATAAACACTTTAAGTGCCCCCCCCCCCCCCCCCCCAAGTAAATATTTAAAATGATTTAAAATATACAGGTCACTGAAACATCTCTGCTTAAGTCTTATTTAAATGTCTAATTGCTGCTGGTATGAAACTATTTTTGTAACGTTTCGTTTTACAGCTTAATACTAGAAACCTACGACCGGAGGGAAGGAGCTGAAACTCTGAATGTAGGGGATGAGATAGAGGTAAAGTTGGTTTTATATTCGCACATTTGTTCATTTAAAAGTCCCTATATTGTTTACCATGTTACTTTGAATATTCGACCGGGATTAGCATGCAAGTGTGGCTTCAAAACAACATTTACACTGTTTATTTGACTGTGAACAATGTTGTACTTTGATAGTCACTGGCTGCTAATATAAGTTTGCTATTTAGAGTGTTTGCTATTTAAATAATAATTTTATGAAATTATATTATTAAGGGGAAAGTCTGAATGTGCGAATATAAAACCAACTTTACCTCTATGGGGATGAGCAGTGTCATTTAAAATTGAATTTGTAACTCTCTTTAGCTGCCTAGTGTACACAGCTTCTAGATTGGCTAGTGACACCCCGGTCAGCTTACTGGACCACTTAAATATCTGATTTAGTGAGTTTTTATTCTTGACAGAAAGATTCCCAAACCATGACACCAAAGCAAAGGATAAAACGGATTTTAAAAAAACGTGATAAAATAGAGTCATCATCTGTTTATCAATATGGAAATAATTTAACTTTCTCAAGCAAAATAGTCGCTGGTGTCCCTTTTTACACACTGCTGCACAATTCTCATCAAAGGAAAGCTTAGAGTCAATAATTGTGCCAAGGTATTTGAATGATTGCACACTTTCCACAGTCTGATTTTTAATGGAAGTGCTCACCTGTGAGTGAGCAGCCTTCCTAAAATCCACGATCATATCTTTTGTCTTTAAAACATTTAACTGAAGATATGACTCCTCACACCATCTGACAAAGTCAGTGAGTACCGGACCATGACCTGTATCATCATCATGGAGTTGATTGACAATGACAGTGTCCTCTGCATAATTGACAGGGCTCAACAATAAGGACTGCCCGGTGGCCCAGGGCCAGCGTGAGAGACACTTGGGACAGTAGACAGGATCATTACTGGCCTGATTGGGACAGTGCTGCCTTGTCACTAACATTTAATTTGTCTACGACTATTTGTCAATTGCGTGCATTTTAAGTTTGTGCTTTTAAGTCTTTAAACACTACCTTCTCTGTGATGTCGTAAACACCATATTGCTTTCCGGTTCCTCTTATCTGATTAAATGTTCATGTACGAAGACTTGCGTGGAAATCATACTAAAACATTGCGTACGCACAAAGCTGTAATTGTGCGTATGCAGAAAAAAATTCAGATGTATGAAACACTGCATACGCCGAATCCCACGCATATTCTTTTGTACATCCGAATGAACGTGAAACTGAGCGCAACATGCACGAGCACAAAACCCCTCCCTGCCTCCTCCCCCGTATGAATATGCTAATGACTATGCTAATGTTAAAACCCAATGAAAAAGCAATGGCAAAAGTAAGCAAAAAGAGAAACTTGGAACAGAATGTGAATTGGAGGTGCTGCTTTCGGAGGTAGACCGGAGAAAAGCGGTGTTATTTGCAAGTTTGTTCTCCGGAATTAACAACAAAAGAAAAAAATAGAGTGGGAGAGTTTAGCTGATGCGGTTAACAGAGTTGGGTCTGAACATCGCACTGAGTGCATTAAAAATAGAAATAGTGTGGTTTATATCTGTAAAATGTTGCAATACCCGTAACAGTCTCAGTGGCGCAGCTCATAAGACGCATGTCAACATGTTTGACACGTTCGACCATGAACTCGGCTCGAATCCAGCGTCTTATGAACTCTTTCTTCTTTTTCCCCCGCTACATATCAGATTTTGCCAACTATTTATCACGAGAAAGACAAGTAGGAATCATTAATAAGTTTGTGCATCATATTTTATTTGCACATTTATTGAATGGAAATGTTTCTGATTCACGCATGCAAATTCATCTTCAGATAGTGTCTTTATAGCAATGTGCGCGCAGTAGATAGCTCAGATTACATTGGGAAAACAGGCGACCACTGCAAATTGTGCTTTAATGTTTAGCTGGTCAACTACGTGGTATGGAAACCTTATATACCTGCTAGATGAACCCGTCTCATACAGCTGCCATTGCAAGGCTCAAAGACACTTTGTAGAATGCAATTTAACACAACTGCCTCTAGGAGTCGCCAATGGAAATAAAACAGACACGCACAAAAAATGTGCGTACGCCAGCCAGAAAGCTGCCGTGAAGCTGCGCACATTCCCACGTTCAGTTCATTGTTAGTAAATCCAAACGTGAGCGATTCTGAGCGTGAAACCTGGCATACGCAAAGTTTTTGTGCGTACGCAGCGTTGATACATGAGGCCCCTGGTAACAACCAGTACAGAGAAGAAACAGCAACATGGCGGCAACATCAAAATATAAGGCTAAAAGAAAATGTCTGTTTCTAATGTCTTGAAGGCAGACATTTACGTGAAAACAACGCGACAAAAAATGAAGCGATGTTTTGCACAGTTTGCCGTCAGTTTGACAAGTCAGCCCATCTTTTGTTAAATAATTTTGAACCGCAATAAAATGCTTCCACATTTTCCATACTACTATTTTTGTTTGCATAACACTTTTATTAAATTTCTTAAGTTTTAAATTCTAGATTTAGAATTTATTTTTGACACATTTTTTAAAATATGCGGCTAAAAAATAGCTATTAACTTCCTATGTTTTTTTTTTGGTGGGGCAAGTAAAAATCTGAACCACTGGCCCGATTAGACCAGTAGAAAAAATCCATAGCGTTGAACCCTGCTTGATAATCGTTCTATTTTCCCACCTGCTCTGACACATGTTTGTGTAAAGGATGTATAACAAAGGTGAAAGAACACATCCTTGTGGGGACCCGGTTGAGGAGCAAACTTTATCAGATAGACATCCATTCACTCTAACACTTTGTGTTCGATTAGTTAAAAAATGAAGGATCCAGCCCACCAAGTTATTACTGAGGTCAAACTGTTCCAGCAATCTCTTAATTAAAATGTGAGGTTGAATTGTGTTAAAAGCAGACGAAAAGTCGACAAACAGAAGTCTGGCATGGGAACCATTTGTTTCCAAATGTTTAAAAAGTAGGTTAAACAAAGTAACTGTGGCATCCTCTACTCCCCGATGAGGCCTATATATAGGCAAACTGCATGGGATCAAGTGCGTACTCTATTCTTCTCAGCATTTCAGACCTCACAAACTTCTCGAAAATTTTCATCACAATTGATGTTAAGGCTATAGGTCTGAATTCATTAAAAGTTAGGGGTGAGTTGGATTTGGGTACAGGGACTACCACAGCATCCTTCCAAACCTTAGGTACCTGTTGTTCTAGTAACGATCTATTAAAAATGTATTCAAAAATTGGAGTTAATTCTCTTGCACCGATTTTAAGTGTGCGACCACAAATATTAGCTGCCTCCCAAATGGCACACTATACACTATGCACTCATGCACTATGTACTTATGCACTTACACACTCAACAGGATAGTATATGTATGTAGTGCTGTCCCAAATGGCACACTAATGTTTTTTTACTAAGCGGAAATTCAAACTGTTTCCCTGATGACGTTTGACGGTTGCCAAATCAGTGAAATAAACGACCGAATTATCAAATAATACCTGCCGTGAGTATTGCCGCATTCACCATCGGGAGGCGCTATAATCACTCTCGTAGGAGAATTTTGCTTTCACTATCCAAAATAAATAAAGCTATCCAACATGTGCGTCCGATAGCTCCGCCCCTTCCGCTACGTAAGCAAACCTGCGGTCGTTGAGTGCGTGAAGTGTCCATCATTACACACTTCATTTTAGCGGCTGAATGAGTGCATCATCCGGGTAATTAAAGTGCACTTATTATTTTTAGAGTTTTCAGTGTGAACACACTACTTACACTATTTATACTCCAAAATGGCGTAGAATAGTGCATAAGTATGCGATTTGGGACGCAGCTATTGTCTGGTCCATTGCTCTTGTTTACTCTTACTGAGAGGAAGGCCTTATGCACAGCTGTTTGTTGTATAATAAAATGCTGTCCACCTGTAAGTTTACTATTTAATTCCTTAATTTCACTAGTAAAATCCAAATGATTAAAACGATTATAAAAATGGTTAAGAGCATTGGCTAACTCAAAATCAGTGCTATAGCCCACTAAATTAATCTGGTGTCTACTCTTTAGATTATGGAGGCCTGTTATGGTTTTCAAACTATCCCAGGCTGAACCAAGCTTATTTGTTGCCATCTTGTTTTCTAATTCAGTTTTCTAATTTTGTTTAGCTAGGAGAATCTCTCTTTTAAGCTCTTTATTTGCCAAATACAAATCAGAATCGGCTCCTTGTTTAAAAAACAATTTCTTTTTCTGTATGCTGGATTTGAATGATTTTGTAACCCACAGTTTGTTGTTAGAGTAAATTTTTACCCGCCTACATGGAATAATCATGTCTCTGCAAAAAGCCACATAGGAGCATACTGTATCGACAAACATATCAAAATTATCACCACAGGACTGTTTAAACATCTCCCAACAGACGTTTTCTTTTTGCTTCATAATTTGTTGTTGTTACCATGTTGCCATCTCTTCGCAGTACTGGGGTCCGTTCTTCGTACCTCGCTTAAATGATCTAAGATTATTTGGCAGATCTTGGATCTTTTAATCTTGATAACTGATCTCTGGCTAATTTAGTTCTTCAAACAAGTTCGCGAATCAGATTAGAATGTCTGGATGAACTGATGTAAGATCGCTGCGTGTGTTGTGAAGGACAGATCTATCGATCCTCGAAATCATGATCAGCAATGCAACGATTGGCTGATGGCACAGCAGCGTAATGACATCATATGATTAATATTCAATTATCCATGTGAGCAAAATTACATCAAATTAGCAGTAAACGGCTTGTTAAATATGACACGCAATAACCTTCCACATTTGTTGTGGGCTGCAGGCTTTCCACTTTCATGTGTCAAGTCTACTCATCATGTATTTCAATGCATATCGGTGTATTTAGTTCCACATTTAGAAAATATTTTCTTTATTATAGTAGCCGTTTTTTAATCGGTGTAAAGAATAACTGGTTATTTAAAAAAGCAGTTTGATATTGGTAAAGGCGTCTGCAACTTTTGTGAAGCATCAAATCACTGGCATATTAACAATCAAAACATGTTTATGACTGCATAAATGTGTTATTGCTTTTAAAAAAAGTCACATATTGTGCATTTGTATTATATACAATTTGTACTAAAGCGATCTAAAAAGTTCAAATCAGTAAGTTTTCTCTTTGCACCACCAGGTGGCAGTCTTTGTACTTTCATTTCGAGGGTGCAGATTGCATAAGTTTTATTAATATGTATAACTTAATTTATTTTATTAATAACTATAACTTTATATATATAGTTAAAAAATATGTATCATTTTCCTAAGTGTATAACTACTATTGTAAGAAAATATCAGAATTCGGAACACTTTCTGTATTATCTTTGCTTGAACTAAGCCGATCTAATCCTGTTTATATGAACTGAACCTGCTCCCGATCAGGTTTGACCCAGCAGAACTGTTGCTATGACAACAACTCTCGGATCAGCTTTGAAGAACGAAACGATCCTGGATCGTGTCAAATCGTCAATATCCAAATCCAGCTAACTGGGTAATCCATGTACGAAGAACGGACCCCTGGTTGTTACCAGGTTATGGGGAAAAAAATAACATGCTCACAACATCCAATCAGATAAGAGAAGCTGAAAAGCAGTATGATGTTTACTACATCACAGAGATGGCGGCATTTAAAGGCTTAAAAGCACAAACTGTTTCTCTATTCTAAGAATACGTATTTGCTTTTAATTGACAAATAGTCATAGGCAAATAAAACTTTGGTGACAAGGCTGTACTACCCCAATTGGGCCAGTAACGATCCCGTCTACTGTCCAAAGCATCTTTCACACTGGCCCTGGGTCATCGGGCAGTCCTAATTGTTGAGCCCTGTACTGCATAACTGTTCTACAGTAATATACGGTTCATATTAATGTTAAATACTGTGTAATTTACAAAAATTGTTAACTGTGCACTTTCAAATGTTTTCAATTATTTTTCCATTTCATCCCCATCCCTTTTAAAGATGAAGAAGGCTTGTCGTTTGCCACACCAGAAGTTCCCACTGACCAGAATGCTGACTCTGTCTTTGGCCGTTCAAATGTGAGCAGTGCAACTGATGTGAGAAGTTTACCAGGATACCGGGTAAAGTTTGACTATGTTTGAATAAAGACGTCATGAAATGAGAAATCAAAATTAGTTTTTCACATATCGTCACCTTAAAAATATTTAAAAAAAAGGTTCTATCTGACATTTTTGTCAAAATTGAGTTATTCATATATTCTTTTTAAATGACAACTTATTTACATTATGGGGTGTTTTTTATAAGTTGTTTAAATTTTAAGACTTTTGAAATGCGATACACAGTTGAGGTCATAATTATTAGCTCTCCTGTGATTTTTGTTTTATATTTTCCTCTATATCTTTTTAAATATTTCCCAAATGATGTTTAACAGAGTAAGGAATTTTTCACAGGAATTTTTTTTAGTCTTATTATTTCATTTTGGCTAGAATAAAAGCAGTTTTTATTTTTTTAAAGCCATTTAAGGTCAGCATTATTAGCCCCCTGAAGCAATTTTTTTTAAATGTCTACAGAAAAAAAGCTGTTATGCAAGGATTTGCCTAATTACTCTAACTTACCTAATTAACATAATAAACCTAGTTAAGCCTTTAAATGACACTTTAATCTGAATACTAGTATCTTGAAAAAATATCTAATATTATTTATTGTCTCATGGCAAAGATAAAAAGACATTAGAATATAGTTATTAAAGCTTTTATGTTTAGAATTGTGTTCTAAAAAATCTCTTTGTTAAACAGAAATTAGGGGAAAATACTTTTATTAGGGAGGGCTAATAATTTTGACTTCAACTCTATATTTGTTCAGGTTTTATGTTAGTTTCAGTTACATTATTAAATAATATTCAAATGTTTTTACAATTATATTGAAATGTACAAAACAGTTTGTAAAGTAATATTTTGTCTTTTAGTAAACATTATATGAGAGATTTACTTTACTTACCAAACAAGTGGTTCTTATTGCATTGCAAACCTTAAATAAAAGTTTATTTAATGTGTTAAGTTTGTAGTCACTGCATTCTCAAAATCTTTCCACATAAATCCACATGTTTTTTTTTTTTTTTTTGTACAAAATTCTGCACAGAAATAGAAAATATGTCCACAGATTCACTCCTTCTGTCAATGTTTTGACTTTTATCAGCAACCATATTGTTTAAAACAATGTCAGAAAGGGTATTCAGAGAAGGAACTTCTTTTTTAGAATCACAGTTAGTATTAATGTTCTCCTGAAAATCAGTTACAGTTGATCCTCCTTTGTTAACAATGTTAAACTCTTTCTGTTCTTCCCTCAGTATGGAGACATCATTCAGACAGTGAATAAGGAAGGGCAGCTGGAGTTTTTTACCTTTCCTGCCTCTGCAGGCACAGCTCACTGCTTAGACTCAAACCCTGCAGGTAGGACAGAACATCGATGCTTTACTGAATAAAATGTTAAGTGGTAAATTAGGGCTGGGCGATATGGCAAAAATGCAATCTCGATAATTATTTTCCATGTTGAATGATAACTATATACTGTATATATTTCGCTATAAGTTTTAAATGCTTCCAGGTTTAAAAGAGTAACCCAACAATGACTAAAGCCACAAAAATTTGAGGGTTAAATGGCATAACATATTTTTGCCCGATAAATTTTTTTGGCCAAAAATTCAGTACACACTTTTAGGGTGCTTTCACACCTGTGTATCGATTCAGTTGTTCCGAAACAGAGATTACAATTGTTACATTGCTGCTCTTTGCTCTTGGAGCGGTTCGCTTTCACACTGCAAGTTTCTAATCGGACCAAAAGAGCTAAAACAAGTCACATGCTAGTAAACTCTCCTTACATTGGTCAGAGTGTTTTGTTTATTTTGCAGCATCCCACTAAGCAGGAGAGGTGATGGTTTGGTGGTGATTGACAGGGTGCGCGCCTGACGTGTCTGAGGAGAGACGCGATGGGGAGGGGTGAGGGTGCGCAACGTAGCCTATTTGAGGACCGGGAGGGAGACGCAAGATTACCGGGAGATCATCACTTGTTTGCAGGCTTCCGGAGACTCGCGAAACTTCCCGCCCTACTCATAATTCTCTCTTCATATAGCCGTAAGCCTTATACATATCCATAAAACACTGTGATATAACCGCGCTCGGATCGGATCGCTTTCTCACTGCAATCGAACCGCTCCAGGGTTCGTTTCAATCGAGCCGAGACCACCTCATTCAAGCGATCTCGGAGCGATTACTTGGCGCAGAACAGAGCCCTGTTCACATATGCCAATCGAACCGCGCTAACTGGGCAAAGGAGATACGTTCCGAAACAAAAGTGTTAGCTTTTCATTGTAGCTTATCATTGTTAATGACAAATTTTTATCACGATTCGATATAATAACGTTTATTGACCAGCACTAACTGAAGGCCAAAAAGATGTTTTCAGATGCATCCAAATTAATGTCAATATATATTTTATGACAATAGCAAAAATTAGGTTGGAGGTTTGTTCTCATGTTTTTGAGACACTTTTCTTTAGAGTTGGATTCACTTGCTCCAGACTAGAACTTGTGTGTTGCTAAAAACAGTATTCTTTTAATGTACAGGTTTTCTGAAGGAGCAGACCAGCAGATGCATGAGGAGCTTTGATTTGGCACGTGATTGTACAACTCTAGGAACTCTGAGCTTGGGAAATTATCTTAATTTCAGCATTCGTTCTGTGAGTTCACATTTTCATTTTACAAACTACATTTTACAGGCTTTGTTGAACATTTTGAATCATTCTTTTTTTGTTAATTTGTTGTTTGATAATCTAAAATAATGTTGCGTTTCTCTCTAGGGAAAGAACCAGGGAGCTAAAGTAAGCCTTTTTTTGTCAATCAGTTTTTCAACATCATCTTTTAATTTAGAATCTTCTAATTCTGACTTTAAAGAGGCGATGAATCAGTTATTTTTGAATGCTTGAACACTGTAACATGTTCATACTTATTTATTTATTTATTTATTTATTTTTTACATATTTTACATACATTATCTTTTAGTCTACACCTCTGTTTTCATTCTTCTAAAGATGGTCTGCTCCCTCAGAAAGGTATAATGATTGGTCAGCTGGCCCAGTGTGTTCTCATTCGATTATCGCCGAGTACACAGGTGTCAAACTCAGTTCCAAAAGGGCCGCAGCTCTGCACAGCTTAGTTCCAACCCTAATTAAGCACACCTGATCAAACTAATTGAGTCCTTCAGGCTTGTTTGAAACCTACAGGTAAGTGTGTTGGAGCAGGGTTGGAACTAAACTGTGCAGGGCCGCGGCCCTCCAGGAATTGAGTTTGACACCCCTGGCCTAGTACACTCAAAAGATTGCATCCGGAGTTGTGGGTTATGTAAATTTCAGGGAGCACCATATCACAAACTCAGCAATAACCTAGTTGTAATTTCTACAAACCAATTGACCAATCAGATCCATGCATTTCTGAGGGAGCAGATTAACTAAAATATCTGTTTGCATTGAACTTTGAGCGTCGTAAATTTGCAAATGTTGTTTATGCTGCAACAGCAACATTACACAAGAACTAAAGGTAAAAGAGTGAAATCTCAATCGACGAGTGCTTTAATTAAATCTACCTTCTGTCTATAACCTGAGGTTATTGGTGTGGAGGTAGCAGCCATTACCCTGCAGTCTTTGGAGGGAACACAGATGCCAGTGGACCCGGCTGACAGTAGCAGCTATTTCCCTATGCTCTTGCAGTCTGGTGACGTCTGCAGTAATGTTGTACAGCAGGTGTGCACATGACGCAACTCTTACTAGCAGATCAGAAATATGACCTAAGTATTAGGAACAAAAAGTTGTTCTATTCTAAAAACAAACTGTTTTTTCAGGTGAAATACGCGTTTGTGTACAATAAAGCCGGGGAAATCCTGAATGTGATGGCAGCGTTTTTGCTGGGAGCTATTAAAAATGTCATGGTGCCCATTCAGCAAGAGTTTCAGATTATGTTTTTACAGGTATTTAATCCTACCTCATTTTCTAAATTTTTCGTGTATTAATTATTCGACATATTATTGCACTTAAAGAATTGTTTTTGCATATACAGTTAAAGTCAGAATTATTAGCCACCTATTTATTTTTTCCCCCATTATCTGTTTTAACAGTAAGAAGACTTTTTTCAGCACATTTCTAAACCTAATAGTTTTAATAACTGATTTATTTTATCTTTGCCATGATGTCAGTGCGTAATATTTTACTAGATATTTTTCAAGACACTTCTATACAGCTTTGTTACGTGTTTTATGATGTTAAAGTGGGATGCTGTAACATTTAAGTGAGACAGGTGTAATGTGTGCGACAGATCAATAATGAGGCAAGGTTCAGTTACTCTCATTTAAAGCTTTTACTCAATAATTGAATTGAAACATGTAACAATAATAAATGGGGGAGAAAAAACAAACAAACAAACATTTATAATTATTATCTTTAAACAAGAACAACGAGTGTAAGCCAAATCAAAGAAATTAACAAAACAATCCTTAAATCTAATGTCTAAACTAGGCGTCAAAAAGAAACACAAATAAAAACCGAGATCTTCAGTGTGTACGACACCCGAACTAAACTAATCAAACTACAAAACTCAAAAATACACGGGTGGCAAAACACTCAAACTAATCTAACAAAACATCAATCTAAACTAAAAAAAAAAAAACCGGATAAGTCCGTTAAATCTTAGTTTAGAATCACACAACCATCATCATATGTTACTTAAAGCCAACAAAGTTCAACAAGCAACTCGAATTATCACAGTAACTGAGAGATCACAAAATAGACGAAGCATTTGCACAAACAAATTGCGTGGAGCACAAAGGGTACGCCGAGGCAGGGCGCACACCACACACTGGACTGACAGGGCTTTAAATACTTGCGGCTCGTCCTGGGATTGGTGGAACCGGAGAGCGTCATAATGATGATGGACAGAATAATAAACCAATAAGAAACCTAGGGTTGAGCAAACGGAGAGGAGGGTGAAAAAAAAACAGAAAAAAAAAACCATAAATCATAACAAGCTTAAAGTGACATTTAAAGGCTGGGCAGGTTAGGGTAATTAGGCAAGTTATTGTATAATGATGGTTTGTTCTGTAGACTATCGAAAAAATATATAGCTTAAAGGAAGGGGCTAATAATTTTGACCTTAAAATGTTTTTTAAAAAAAATTAGAAACTGCTTTTATTCTAGCTGAAATCAAACAAATAAGACTTTCTCTAAAAGAAAAAATATTATCAGACATACTGTGAAATATATATATAATGTATATACGTATGTATATATATATGAGTTATGAGTTATTCAAAAGTTAAACAGCCCCTATTATGGGTTCTTAAAAATGACCTTCCATGCAGTGTGTAACACAGCACTAAGTGAATGAAAACATCCAGCTGAGGGTTAAATCTGAAAATGCACTTGGTTTAAAAATAGTTTTTTTTAATAAAAGATTCGACTCAGAGTTTTTTAAATGATTCGTTGTTCGTCGGGATCTTTTGTTTATATCGATGTTTATACCAAATATGAACTACCGGATCCGGTAAATGTGAACGCGCCTTTCCCTTTAGACCTTAGCAGAGTTTGAGGGATCATGGGATTTATCGTGACGGGAAGATTACTATCACTTAGAAATGCCTAGACATGCGGCTCTGGGGAATAAAGGGTTAAAGTTAATTTTCACAACACCACCACAGTATAGTCAACCCAGTGCTGTGTTTGTTCCTGTCATTTTCTGATTGATACAATAATCTACACTGCAGTGTGGGATTTGCTGGCATTTGTTATTAAAGCAAGGATCAGCAAAGACTACTAATGTATGGGATTTTGTTAGTAACTGTTACATAGTTTATATGGACCAGTTCCTTCTACCTACATAACATGAATTGTGATTAAAATTGTTGCCTCATTTTCTGTAGTTTGCAAAATATGTCTTTAATTGTGTGTTGTAACTTGTAATCGCTCTGCACAGCTGGTAATCACGTACTGTTATAGATCCGTGCTTGTACTGTATCTCTCAGGTTAAATTTGTATGGGGTTATTCACATATCGCGTCCAAAACCACGTTGCAAACGCAACTCATGCTCCTTTTTTTTCATGCTTTAAATGCATTTTTTGCTCGCAATCTCCTGCTGTTTGTTGCCATGGTCACCATCAGCTGTTCCTCACACGTGTGGAGTGGTCAATTTTTTAAAAATAGTTCAACTTTTGCCACTGTTTGGATACTGAATGTACTGAATGTGTGTCGCTGTTATTACTTAAGGTTAGGGTTAGGAGTAGACTAATATGCTGGGGTTTGGGACAAATAAATCACTGAACAAATCATATGTAAGTCGTTGGGATAATTAGGTAAAAATAAATGCATATTATAAGACAATGAAGGTGTTTATGACCTTGCAGGCATATCAGCCTGTTGTTAGAGACCCCCCAAAACCAAAATATGACCTTTTATAATGCATAATAGGGGCTCTTTAAGATAAATAGTTTTATGTACATTCTCTGATGTCCCCATATACACTGTTAAAAGAGATTAGTTGACTTAAAAAAAATAAAATAAACCTGTTGCCTTACAATTATTAAGTAAACCACCTATGTGCATAATTATAAATGTTTAGTTAGGTCAATGGGTTTACTGACTTATCTAAAATCAGGTTGTTGTTTTTAAGGCAGCATAATTAATCACTCTTTAAGGTAACTAATCGCTTTTTACAGTGTATTTGCATGAAATGATATTAATAGTTTTTTGTCTATCCTTTAAATGTACTAGTTTAAGTATTTTCTTTTGCTTCATTTAAATTGTGTATTGTTCTTTTCTTTTAGATTTGGTTCAAATATTTGTTATTTTTATAGTTTTGTGGTGCCTTCTGATTTTCTTGAAATATTTATCCAGAATGTGTTTTACAAATTTTTGTTGTTGTTGTTTTCTTGTTTTGTTTAGATTTTTATTTTAATGTAGCCTTATAAAAAGAAAGTAATATTTGTATGTCCATGCTTTGACAGGAGAACTCTCAGACAACAGGGTTGAAATACAGTGGCAATCCTGGCTATGTATTGGGGCGTCCTCTAGTGGCCGGAACAAGAACGGCAAAATATCCTTTATTAGAAACTGTGGACAGATGTCTCTTTTGTGACGAAACGATTATGCCAGCCATTTGTCATCAGCACAGAATATAAGTAATTTATTTCCAAGTTTGGAAAATACCCCATATGTTGAGTATATGGCAACATGTTAATAGTTAATGTCAGTAATTCACAATATTAAAAAATGATGTCCTTCTTATACTTTATTAGATGCAGTGTTACAGATAAAAAATCATTCCCTTTGATTTATCTATGAAAGAAATCAGGACACAGCAGGCCCATAGCCAGGGGTGATTCAAATGGTTTGAATGACCCACCCCTCACTGACAAAGGTCCAGAATTTGTCCCATACATGAGCTCATTTGTCCTATTTTGACTACTATGGTATAATAAATTGAAAAAAAAAACTATGAAAATAACCTATTAAAGAGGCTTTAAGACCAAGTGGAAATCTGTTTCAGCTGTTGCTAAGGTTTGACTTCCCAAATTCAGCGTCCCAAATGACAGTTGAATGTCCTGACCAGTTTGTTGTTTGCCTAATACATGACAGTAGGCTGCAGTTTTTGATTTAAAACACATTTAAAACTCCCTATTTTTTTTCTAATGATTTATAAAGTGATACATTTGTATTTATAAAATAAGTAAGCTATTGTTTTTATATTTCTTTATTCTAAATCTGGAAATATTTTGGTACATTAAAAAGTGTGGTTGTAATGACCATCTGACAGGTTTATCCAGCCAAAAAAAAATGCTTGAAATGTCACTAAAATGCAGTGTTTAAACCTCATAATTAAATAAAAAATGAGGCGAATAACTGCAAAAAGGTCCACTTTTTGAGAATAAAGAACCATTCTTTTCACCAGGCTGGCTAGGGGCCTGCACAATATTAATATTAAAAAAGGTGTGCTAATGTTTTCATCATCGTAACAGTGTTTAACAAATCCATGCAAATGCTGTCATGCAGGGGGCGAAGCAGTGGCGCAGTAGGTAGTGCTGTCGCCTCATAGCAAGAAGGTTGTTGGGTCGCTGGTTCGAGCCTCTGCTCGGTTGGCGTTTCTTTGTGGAGTTTGCATGTTCTCCCTGCGTTCGCGTGGGTTATCTTCGGGTGCTCTGGTTTCCCCCACAGTCTAAAGACATGCACATGCGGTACAGGTGAATTGGGTAGACTTAATTGTCCGTAGTGTATGAGTTTGTGTGTGTGGATGTTTCCCAGAGATGGGTTGTGGCTGGAAGGGCATCCGCTGCGTAAAAACTTGCTGGATAAGTTGGCGGTTCATTCCGCTGTGGCGACCCTGGATTAATAAAGGGACTAAGCTGACAAGAAAATAAATTAATGAATACTGTCATGCCTGCCAATCCAGCTTTGGGGCACATTCCTTGACTCTTGTTTTACTGGGATAGTTCAGTTTGCAGACCCAAAAGGATCTCTCACTACCATCCAAACATCTGTGGATCAGGATTGCTTGCGTGGCTCTTCTCGTCGCTCGCCTGTCCTATTTGGGATTAACACAATATCAGGTTGCACCTTAAAGTAAGAAGCAACTGTAATAATATTTAATGTTTTTGTAAAGTAGACAAGCTTTGTCCAACAATTTGATTTCTGTTGTTTGTCCTTACTCCTCTAGGCTTTCCGATGGAGTTAATTGTTCTCAAGTATCAGAAGTCATTTTATGGGCACTCAAAGGACAGAGTTTCCCCGATCATGTGGCTTCCTTTGGGAATTCCTTGCCTCAGAATTCTTTGGACTGGGTGCCAATCCAAAACCAAACCATATCATTGGTAAACAGCCTACTTAGTGTTATTTTAATGTGTTTAGAGGAAAACTGAAGCTGCAGTCGTGCGGTGTTTCTTGAAAGAGAAGTGTTTAAGCTAGGGGATATGTTGACATGAAACCTCAGCCGGAGGTCACTGATGATGCAATTCTGATTTGTAAACCTGTGTTTATTCTTCTTGCTTCCACATTTTTCTGGTTTACCAAGGGGGCTCAAGCTTGCAGCATACCTCTGTCTTACCATCTTGAAGTAAAATGGACCAAGTATGGAGCCCTGCTGAACCCCCAAGCTCAGATCGTGAGCATCATGGAAACAATCATTACGAACACCAGTAGTTTGGTGAGTTTAACACATTGGCACACTTTTAATGACTTTCATTCATTATATATTGTATTTAATAAACAAGTTAGTACAATTAAAATGTTTCGACAATATACAATGCATCCGGAAAGTATTCATAGCGCTTCACTTTTTCCAAATTTTTTTGTGTTACAGCCTTATTACAAAATAAATTTTATTTATTTATTTCTTCAAAAATCTACACACAATACCCCATATAGACAATGTGATTTTTGTAATTGTTGCAAAATTATTAAAAATGAAAAACCTAAAAAATCACATGTATATAAGTATTCACAGCCTCTAAATTGAGCTCAGGTACATTCTGTTTCCACTGATCATTCTTGAGATGGTTCAGCAGCTTAATTGGAGTTCACCTGTGGTAATTCAGTTGATTGGATAAGCAGGCATATACCTGTCTATATAAGGTCCCAGGGTTGACAGTGCATGTCAAAGCACAAACCAAGCATGAAGACAAAGGAATTGTCTGTAGACCTCAGAGACAGGATTTCCTCGAGGCACAAGGCTCGGGAAGGTTACAGAAAAACTTATGCTGCTCTGAAAGCTCCAATGAGCACAGTGGCCTCCATCATCCATAAGAGGAAAACGTTTGAAACCACCAGGACTCTTCCTAGAGCTGGCCGGCCATCTAAGCTGAGTGATCGGGGGAGAAGGGCCATAGTCAGGGAGGTGATCAATAACCCGATGATCACTCTGTCTGAGCTCCAGTGTTCTTCTGTGGAGAGAGGAGAACCTTACAGAAGGACAACTATTTGTACAGCAATCCACCAATCAGGCCAGTATGCTTGAGTGGCCAGACTGAAGCCACTCCCCACCTGGAATTTGCGAAAGGCATCTGAAGGGCTCTCAGACCATAAGAAACACAATTCTCTGGTCTGGTGAGACTAAAATTGAACACTTTGGAGTGAATGCCAGGCATTACATTTAGAGAAAACCAGGCACCCTCATCACCAGGCTTATACCATCCCTACTAACACCATGTGTGTGATGTTTTTCAGCAGCAGGAACTGAAAGACTAGTCAGGATAGAGGGAAAGATGAATGCAGCAATGTACAGAGACATCCTGAATGAAAACCTGCTTCAGAGTGCTCTTGACCACAGACCGGGGCAGCGGGTTATCTTCCAGCAGGACAATGACCCAAGCACACCGCCAAAATATAAATGGATTGGCTTCTTACCAACTGGGTGAATGTCCTTGAGTGGCCCAGCCAGAGCCCAGACGTAAATCCTATTGAACATCTCTGGAGAGATCTGAAATTGGCTGTACACCGTTGCTTCCTATCTGACCTGATAGAGCTTGAGAGGTACTGCAAAGAGGAATGGGCAAAAACTCCCAAAGACAGGTGTGCCAAGCTTGTGGCATCATATTCAAAAAGACTTGTGCATCAACAAAGAATTGAGCAAAGGCGGTGAATACTTATGTACATGTAATTTTTTAGATTTTTTATTTTTAATAAATTTGCAACAATTTCAAAACATCTTTTCACATTGTCATTATGGGGGATTGCAGGGCCGGAGTGGGACTCCTATTCAGCCCTGGAGTTTCAAGCCTCAGACCGGCCCACCTCAGTTCACGACTGACTATATTAAAATAAGGTCATTTCCAAATCAGTTTCTAATGACACTATCACATTTTTTTTTTTGTTGAGAAAACAGCTGCTTTAGAACTTCAAATGTTCAACAACCCTAACAGTATTATATGTCTTAACAATAAAAATGAAAACATTTAATTACTCTAACGAGGATCGAACCCGGGTCCGCGGCGTCTTAACCTAACGTGCTAACCGCTGGACCACAACAGCTGGGTACAGTAGGGAGACACATAAAAAGGCTGTGGTCAAGTAAATAAATAAATTTAAAAAGTGTGACTGCTGAGAGCAACAAATTCTGGAGCTAGGGACACCGGCCCTCACGGCCAAAAAACGGACCGGCCCACCGGGAACTCTCCCGGTCCTCCCGATTAGCCAATCCGGGCCTGGGGGATTGTGTTTAGAATTTGGAGTAAATAAATTAATTTAATCCACTTTGTAATAAGGCTGTAACAAAAAAAAATGGAAAAAGTGAAGTGCTATGAATACTTTCAGGATGCACTGTATTAGATGCCCATACAATGTTTTAACCCATGTATCTTTATTGAGGCTAATCTTTCTCTACCACAAATTCACAGCTTGATATTCTAACTTGTAGGTCTTTTATAAACAGAATTTTTCTTTGTTTAGGCCTTCATTACCAGTCCTGGTGGTCTTCTGCCTGTCACAAGCTCAGTGAGTTTTGTTGATGTGTCTGCCTCTGCAACCCCAGGATTCAAAGTTCCTCCAACAATCGATGCTAAACTACCGTTTGACTTTTTCTTTCCATTTGTATAATAGAGCTTGTCTTTTTGCAGCACTATGAATGGAGGACCACTGGTTTTGTAGCCATGTTTCTCTGTCCATCCTCAGGTCATTTTTGTGTTTAATTATGCCTAACTTGCCGGTGTATATGGTGTATATTTATTGTCTACTGTATATAATGCACTGATACACAATTTTAACTAAATAAAAAATACTTTTATATGTATATAAGTGTACCTGTGTACAATTCAATGTATCACAAATATACTGTATGCACAAATGTTGCACATTAGGTTGTGCCTGTAGTTTTAGCTGCCTTAATACTTTGTAGCATAGATTCATCAAGGTACTGGAAATATTCCTCAGAGATTTTGGTCCATATTGCCATGATAGCATCACGCAGTTGCTGCAGATTTGTCAGTTGCACATCCTTGATGCGAATCTCCCATTCCACAACATCTCAAAGGTGCTCGATTGGATTTAGATCTGGTGACTGTGGAACTCTGTTGAGTACAGTGAACTCATTGTGATGTTCAAGAAAGTAGTCTGAGATGATTCACTCTTTTTGACATGGTGTGTTACCCTGCTGGAAGTAGCCATCAGAAGATGGGTAAACTGTAGTCATAAAGGGATGGACCTGGTCAGCAACGATACTCAGACAGGCTGTGATGTTGACAAGATGCTCAATTGCTACTAATGGGCTCAAAGTGTGCCAAGAGAATATCCCTCACACCACTACATCACCACCAGCCTGAACCATTGATCTAAGGCAGGATGGAACCATGCTTTCATGTTGTCGACGTCAAATTCTGAGTCTACCATCCGAATGTCGCAGCAGAAATCAAGACTCATCAAACCAGGCAACGTTTTCCAATCTTCTATTGTCCAATTTTGGTGAGCCTGTGCGAATTGTAGCCTCAGTTTCCTGTTCTTAGCTAACAGGAGTGGCACTCGCTGTGGTCTTCTGCTGCTGTAGCGTATCCGCCTCAAGGTTCGATGTGCTGTGCGTTCAGAGATGCTCTTCTGCAGACCTCAGTTGTAACGAGTGCCCGGATAGCAAGACAAGAAGACGCTCTGAAATTCCTGCTCCCTGTCAAGGACACCTGTTGGACTCTAAAGGCTTACACACACACATACACAGCTACAGATAGACAATCACTCCCAATCCCCTCATCCAAACGCCTTTGTGTGCTTTCACCCACTGGAGCGGGTAGGGGGGTCTGCGACCAGCGCCCTATGGCTGCAGGACTAGATGGCTGCCTGGTCTCATCAGACTATATCCACACCCACTGTGGCAATGTTGTGTCTTGTCTGTGTTTTTGTGCAAGGTTACTGGGGCCTTTTTTTCTCCCTGGTCTCACATTGCTCTAATTAAAGAGCATGGTAAGGGAGTTTTTTTGCCTCCCTCTTCTGTAATGTGTCTTATTTTCTTTTTTTAATGCTTCCCTTACCTCCTGTGACCTGTCTTCCCTTGAAATTTGTGATGTTTGTGTACGGTCGGGGGGGTTCAATTTCACTATACGAAAGTTTATGCGACAAATAAAGGCCTGATTTGATTTCATTTGATTTGAGTTACCGTTGCCTTTCTATCAGCTGGAACCAGTCTGGCCATTCTCCTCTGACCTCTGGCATCAACAAGGCATTTGCACCCACAGAACTGTCGCTCACTGGATATTTTCTCTTTATCAGACCATTCTCTGTAAACCCTAGACATGATTGTAAGTGAAAATTCTCAGTAGATCGGCAGTTTCTGAAATACTCAGACCAGCCCATCTGGGACCAACAAGCACGCCATGTTGAAAGTCTCTTAAATCACCCTTCATCCCCATTCTGATGCTCGGTTTAAACTCCAGGGCCTGGTTTTTCAAAAGTAATCCACTAGGATTTTGGATAAGGGTTTGGATCCAATCTTAAAAATGGGTTTTTCAAAAGAAAAAACGGATTACATAATCGGATTAGATAACGCAATCCAATTTGGTTTTGATCCGGATCAAACCTTTAGTTTGGGTTTTTCAGACCTTTTTTGTAGGATCTGGATCACTTTGATCCAAAAAACCTGGATTAAACTGATCCCATCAGAAGGGTGGATTTAGCGTGGATTTCATGCCTAAAATGTAATGAAAACGTAAAAAATTTATTAAATAATGCTTATTTTGGATCATACAGTATCTTACGAGATATACTATTTATTCATAAGGTTTTCATTTTATTTGTTCATCTGTCAGGCTATCGTGAGTATAGGCTTTAACATATTCAGCCTTTCAGTATAGGCGTACAGCAAAGTAGAACGAGTTTGGCCTCATAAAATAATCCCCCAAACAGCTGTCAAAACTGACCAAAAACAACAAATTTTATTATGTCACTAATTGATATATATATTCATCACAATGAAAAATATTTTTCTTTTTAGAATATTTTTTAGTGATCCATGCAATGATTACAGAATAACAAAAAAAAAATGCAAAGACTGGCAATGACTGATTTTTGAAATCTCTTTCAACAATTGCAAAAAGAGACTGAAAGGGCAGAAGCACAACTTCGTCTGGCAGAGAAACAACTGAATCTAACCAAACTGCAGCAAACCAAGGCCAATGACTTGAGATCCGCCTCCTAAAGGCTACGCTCAGACAAGCTGGTCTCTCCACATAAGATGAGGAAGTCTGAAATTATTGTGGAGTTTTTGACATTAAGTCTTTTTTTTTTTTACATCTATATTTGAAACTTACTATAAATATCCTCAATGTACAGTGTTGTAGGTCTCAAATGAGCGGACTGCTTTAAAGAGGATGGGGTGTTGTTTTTCTTGTTTTTATTATTTATTATTATTATTATTATTATTTTAATAATTATTAAATTTTTTTAGTTTTCATTTCAAATAAAAATATAGATATATTGACCCCACGCTGGCTATTCTACTCTTTACATATCTATAGTTCTACATTGTGATGTCCTATCCTGTTTGAGCACTGGTTATCCAGATTTAGTGATCCTGAAAAGTTCCTATCCAGATCAGATTGATCCAATCCGATTTTGCTTTGAAAAACTGGCTCAAAAAGTAAGCTGGATTACGTGATCACGGATCGCAAAAACACGATTACTAAATCCGGATCAATTTTATTCGGATTAAACCTTTTGAAAAACCGGGCCCAGCAGATCATCTTGACCATGTCTACATGCCTTAATGATTTAAGTTGCTGCCATGTGATTGGCTGATTAGAAATTTGGGTTAACTAGCAGTTGGACAGGTGTACCTAATAAAGTGGCTGGTAAGTGTATATCTACAATTAATAAGCTAATTCATCAGTCAGGCAGATCAATCAATAGTTCATATTTCTTTTACAAAAGAGTGTTTATTGCATAGCTTTCAGTTTTTCGAATGCATATTTACATCCAGAAAGAGAAATGTTCGATTCATGGATAAAACAACAACAATGATTTTTTTCTAATAACATTAACAATTCAGAATAAAAATAAAAATCAGCTTATAATCTACTGAGGCAAGTTTATAACTCCAGTATATAGAAAAACCCAGTATCCCTTATGTGGATTACATATTTCCCTTTCTAGTGATTTGATCTACGTGAGTCACTGGCTTTAACAACCATTTGCTCTAATGCATCTAGTTAAAGATCTGCCAGGTTGCGGAGGTTGAGATTAGATTGTCTTTAAGTGATGAACTCATCACACTAAAGCAACATCTTCACATTAGACAGAATAAACATACATGATTGGTCTTAAGTTCATTCCCATGTTGTTTGTTTAATGAGTAACTCCCAGAGCTTTAAAAGTCAATGCTGTGATCTTTTAGGAGCGCACGAAGCCTGACGTTTTCTTGGTCCTGTTGAAAGATAATATTTCAATTTGTATCAATGTAATAATTATTTAAATTAATCATTACTGATACTAAATAAGGGCTACTCACCATTTTTGTGTTCTGCTCTTTAAGCTCATTGACTTGATGAACGAGGCTTTCGTTGATCTCCTTTAGTTTTTCAACTCTGTGATTGGCACGATTTTGCACAGACACCAAGATACCTATAAGAGCACAAACAAGAAAAAAACAACAGATTTATAAAATAAGCAGTAGATCTTAATATGATAATGTAGTGCAGCTGGGTTCCTAAAGTAAAACTTTGACAAATTTTCTTTCAGCTCAAAATGCCCATCAGATAAATTATTATAGCCTCCAGAATCTGCCCGTTTTGGTGCCTGAGTTCGGTGTAGCTGTTTTTGTAGCCTGTGGCTTTAAATGCAAATAAGCTACTTCTCCCAGCCCACCATTCCCACGTGTGTCTGCTATCCTGCATTACATCAGATAAACAGCTGTCAGTGATAGAGACAAGTAAGTTTATTTGATGTATTTGTGGTGGAGTCTATTCAAGCCTTTCTGAAATGATGAGTCACACACTAAGGCTGTTTGTAATAGACCCACACACATATGCACATTTACTGACACCATGTGGCCAATTTTAATTAAAACGGCTAAGAATTACAGCAATTACATTACAAGAATTACATTTTGCTGTCTTTGTTACAAACATGCTCATTTTAAAAATGTTTTAAACTTATAAAAAAATAACAGGGAGTTGGAACAGATATTTTAATCCCAGTTTCTTTGCAAAACTATGTTCTGTAGACGTGTATACATGGTATTATAGAAACATGGTGCTTGTCGATCAATTCGGTAGCCGGGGAAAACCTCCTACGCTCCTACGTCATGTTGCAGTGGGCCTTATATTCACTAGGATTTAGGTCCTATTTTAACGTCAGGAAATTTTTAAAAAGAGACTTGTTGGGTTTCTATCCTGAAAATAGTACAAAAGCACGCACATCACTTTTAACTGGGTGCTCACCCAAAACAAAAACAAAAAAGTGCGAAATATATATTTAAAAGGGCGGCAACAACAAAGCTCCAAAAATGCTAATTTATGAAATAAAAAAAAAGGCTGCAGTGGCGCAATAGGTAGTGCTGTCGCCTCACAGCAAGAAGGTCGCTGGTTCGAACCTTGGCTCAGTTGGTGTTTCTGTGTGGAGTTTGCATGTTCTCCCTGCATTCACTTGGGTTTCCTCCAGGTGCTCCGGTTTCCCCCACAGTCCAAATACATGCGGTACAGGTGAATTGGGCAGGCTAAATTGTCTGTAGTGTATGAGTGGTTGTGTGTGTGTGTGTGTGTGTGTGTGTGTGTGTGTGTGTGTGTGTGTGTGTGTGTGTGTGTGGATGTTTCCTAGAGATAGGTTGCAGCTGGAAGTGCATCTGCTGCGTAAAAACGTGCTGGATAAGTTGGCGGTTCATTCCGCTGTGGTGACCCCGGATTAATAAAGGGACTAAGCCAACAAGAAAATGAATGACACAAAGCATGTAACATTTCAGGGACACGGCTCTTCATCATACAGTGACTGTGTCAGCATTTTTTATTTAATAAATTTCCATTTTTTGGAGCTTTGTTGTTGCTGCTTTTTTGAAAATATATTGCCCTTTAACACCACTAAAACATTGGTTACTAAAACATATTGGTTAATTTTTATGAACAGCTATTTTCTAAAAGAATTTAGTAAACAATTGATAACAAAAGCCAGTTGTTTTATATGGACTCTTTTCACATTTCTAAGTTTCTCAGTAGTTGAGTAAACTTAGAGCGCAGTGAATGTGAGAGAACAACAAATGTTTTTTTTTTACAGTGTCATTTGTTGAAATAGTAAAGAAAGCTTTATAATGATGTTATCAACATTTTCAGAAAAAAGGGAAATATAAATAATGTGAGACCGATAACGTCAGCCAGAAGAGACTGGCCAAATTTACTGTCTTGCCCATACACACTGCATTAGAAACAGGCCCGGCCCTAACCAATTTGGCGCCCTAGGCAAGATTTCAGGTGGCGCCCCGTCACAACGCAGTAAATTCCACTGCTAGTGTAAAGTCAAAAGAAACTAAACAGCTTTTTGATCGACTACTACAAGCTGGGAAAATGTCAGATAAATATGCCAATGCAATTAACATTATTGCTGAATAGATCTAATATTTACACATTTGCTTGAGGAAGGAATGATGGGGTAGTTACATTAATATTACTATTTTCCAAAACATCTATGCCCTTCCATAACATTAGCTGACGTAAAACTAACAGATAGCACTATAGCTATTTAATGATTAGCAATGTTATGTCATGTCTATCAACTTTGTTAAAATATGGGACAACAAATAGCTTCAAATGATAGAATACATAGCAAACAATAGAAAATATTGACAATAAAATAAAAGGTTTAACCTATTAAAATCAATGGCCTATACAGAAATTAAATAAAGCTATTAAATCTATTTAACTTTTAATTGTATTTGCATATTGATTAAAGTTACTATAGTTATTTAGTGAAGAGCAGCAAATGACTCTCTCATTGTGTTTTGTTTGATTACAGAGGTGTTAATGTAAGAATGCACAGATCTATAATGAATGAATGAATGAAGCATTCGACTACTTTAGTGACTGTTGTGCTACTTTAAGAGAAAATTAGTTTGTGTTTAAAATAAAACAAGCAGGATAGAGCAAAAAAACAAAAACAAAAAAAAGAAGCACTTTTCCGACGGTCCCTTACGTAGAGCTCCACTCCCCGCGAGCTCAGCTCTCCCGGCTAAACGCATATCCCAGGCTAAACGGAGCAGTGCTCGTAATATCGAGCGAAAAAAAAGAAAAAGACAGCTGTGAAACATAACCAGCTTTGTCTTTTTGTAGGAAACAAACTTTAGATCTTTTTAGAGTTATTGCCATCGATCACTGAATGTGTGTCAGGAATATTGAAAACAAAACCAACTTAACCCCGCTCATTTCTGGCGCCCCCTGGATGTACAGTGCCCTTAGCATTTGCCTATACTGCCTATGCCACGGGCCGGCCCTGATCAGAAACACCTTGCATATGCAGTAATACGTTTCTTTGGCAATTTGTTGCAAAGATATAATGCATTCTTAAACACATTCATATTCATACTTATGTTCATACTGATGATCCTTAAAAACATCTTAATGGTCTCATGAAAAGGTTCCATTTTACCACTGCTAACTTGATTACACATTCGCAGTAATAATAGTATTAAAATGCACTCCCTTTTTAAAATAGATATATTTAAAAAAAAAACATTTCCATACCATTTATGATCCTGGCCACTCTCCAGAGCCTGAGCAAGATCAGGAGACCCATGGCATCGAACGCATCTTCCTTTGAGATGTATATAATATCCAAAATAAAGGATACGACCACCACAATCCCATCAAACACCTCAAACTTATGGTGAAGGAATTCTAGGCGATAGGCAAAGATCTTTCCAGCCAACTCTACCATGAAGAATGTGAGAAGGGCAAGGCTGAGATAGTGGAATACCTGGAAAAAACATTGGGATGGAGGACAATCACTGGCATCCATGCTGAAAAATCCAGCCTAAACCAGCCAACCAGCCTAGGCTGGTTTAAGCTGGATTTTTCAGCAGGGATACCATATTATATTCAGTCAAACTTGCTGTATGGGCATCTGAAGCGCACTCACCTGTGGGGCTATTCTGTGGTGGTCTGCTTCAATGATAGACAAGTCAATAAGCAACTCGCATAGTACGAAAATGGCATCCAAGACAACCAAGCACACAACAACAATCTAAGCAACAAAATAACAGTCGCCGGTTAATTTGCAATGATGTAAACAACATTAACATGTGTATATATACACAGGCCAATAGTGCAATTGTTTACCTGGAATCTCTCTGTACTGTACAGCTTTCGTAGGGAGTCCCTGAAGCTGAGCTGTCCCAAATGCTGTCCTGTTGAAACCTCCAGGCCATCAGGGGCATCGTGCAATGTCGTGACATGGTGGGATGTGTCTTCCTCATGCCATGTTGGGACAGCGTTTTTATTATCACCCACCGCGGTGAAATGCTTCAGATACCGGGACATTTTTGGCAGGTGGTCACATGAGTTGAAAGCTAAATAAACAAAAAAGTACCTTGCACATTAGAATGAATGATTTTTAACGTTTTACCCCTTTTTGATTCATAAATTTGAAGGTGAAACCAGGTCTATTTGTCACACTTTTGCTCAAGTGAATTGCTGCTTAAAAGGTTGATCCACTAGGATATCATATTTTAAACTTTAGTTGATATGTAATGTAGCTGTGTGAACATAAACAACATCTCTGCATGTAATACGCTCAGTGTTCAATGCAAAAGGAGTCATTCGTTTTTTTAGAATTACCTTAGCAAAGCCTACAGCAAACAAATTTTGGGGAATACAAAAAAATACATTCGGACTAGTGAGATCACAAACGCTTCAGGTTACGCGCACACATGCGCACACACACACCCTGCAGAGCGAAGGGGAATGGCCAGAGGCGCTGCAGTGTAGAGATCTGCGCGGGACTAAATTTTGAATCCTGCTCCCGCCCGCACCCGCCAGGTTTTAGCCGGAACCCGACCGCTCCCGCTTATATTAAGCACTTGATGTCCCGCTGCCCGACCCGCCCCGTTTTCTATCCGCCGCGCCCGATCCCGCTAAAGAGCAGGGGGAGAACAAAACCGAAAGATCACCCAGTTATACAGTCCAGACAGCCTATAACAAGCTGTCTGTATAAACACACACACGCACAGCACCAAGCACACACACACACACAGACAAAGCTTTCTCTCTCATTCGCGCGCGCGCGCCCTCTAACACACACTCATAAGCACCAAGCACAAACACAGGCAATGAGGCAAAGCTCTCTATCTCTCATTCGCACACGCACACACACACACACACACACACACACACACACACACACACACACACACACACACACACACACACACACACATATCTCTCATTCGCGCGCGTGCGCATACATATAGATACACACACACACACACACACACACACACACACACACACACACACACACACACACACACACACACACACACACACACACACATACACACATACACACATACACACACACACACACACACACACACACACACACACACACACACACTGCAACAAACAACCTAAACACACCATCGCGCTATTTCATTTACACACATACATACGCGTGCTCACTCGGGAGTCGGGAGCGATATTGCTAGACAGCCTGCTCCCATCCCAAATTAAACTCCTTACCGACCGCTACCGTGATTTATTCGGAAATTTATACCCGCGCCGTAGAAATCTGGTCGGGTCCCGCGGCGCCCGCGGGACAGCCGCGGGAATGCAGACCTCTACTGCAGTGTTGTAATGTAGCACTGAAAGCTAAAATGGCATCCAAGCACTGCTATTTCCACAGAGATTGTTCTTTTTCTGTATTTGGGCTTCCAAGGGACATGACACAAAGAGAGAAGTGCTTAGAATTTAATTTTATTATGTTCCAGACAATTACAATAAATATATAGCTCCAGCATTTGACAAAGGACAGCTTCAGACTCTCTCTTAGTTCAGTGCTGGATTCGGCTAAAACTCCTCCAACCATAATAGAAGAAGCTGTGGATTGTGAGCCACAACCTGTAAGTGTTTTGATTTGCTAAAATTGATCTATTACATGCAGTTTCTAGCATTAACAGTATGTTGCAGCAAGGATGTAAACAATGGGATATGCTGTTTGGCACTGCTAACAATTTAGCTACAATTTCATATTTATCCGTCAAACTGCTGTATACACCCACCATCTTCACCAGCACTACAGTGTCTCTCTATGCGGACGCTTTCTGTGTGTTCTACATCTCGAATAACAAACTTGCAAAAGATATGGGAACCTTTCATTTTATTTCCACATGCTTATAACCCGAATATATGTGAAAGACATTTTCAGGCATGCAGGTTAAGCTGCTTTTTCTGTCATTTTCTGTCCCTTGACTATTTTGACAAATACACAATGAGGTTGATCGCTTAAGCCTGGTTTATACTTCTGCATCAAGTGATCAAGGTGACCCACAGCGCATGCAACGCGCATGGCTGTGCAATCATACTTCTGCGAGCTGTTTCTGTTGCTCTGCAATAACACTTCCGAAACGTTAGTTGCCAGTGAGGTGTTTATGTTTCTCTGTGTCGAGTTTCCTCACAGGTGTTTTGTTTTTTCTGAATGTTTCCTTAATGTACAACTGGTTCAAACTCGCTCAGTTTGAAGCAGGAACCGGCAGAAGTGCAACAACTTTATCCATGAGGTGAACACAAAACAAAACTTTCCATCCGGAGCTCCTTCATGGGACTCCACACTTGTAAACAATCGCTCCATTTGGCTCGCAGGGCTCTCGGTTCCGCCCACACCCGTCAGGGCTACCAAGCCGACCAATCACAGAGCTTGCGCTTCGCGTCATTGCGATGAGTAGTAAAATTTTTTGAGAGGTGCATGTCTGCGACGCCGACGGCCACGGCGAGGGCTATGTGTCCACGTGTAGGCCTTGCCGTAGCATATGCATGTGCTTGATGCAGAAGTATAAATCAGCCTTTACACAGAGCCCAAAATGGAAGTTTGTGATTGGGTCAGCCCAATGTCAATAAAGAAAAGAACCAATGGGCTGCAGATTATGTCACATGGCCTGTTCGAAAAAGAAACATCTTGCTTTCAGAGCGTCACAGATCACAGCATCATCAATGAATTAGGCAGAAAAACACGACAGTCTGCAAAGTGTTTTATGGATGGGCCAATTAGATCATAAGGAGATGATGAGCCCGGCCCAAAAAAAACCCAGCGGGAAACTTCCCGGTCTGCCAGATGGCCAGTCTGCCCCTGATATCACGGTTTGGAAAAGTCAAGGTTTTAAAACCACGGAAATTTTCTGTTAAACTGTACCTAAGGTTTTATTTAATTTTTTTACGTTTTTTTTTTTTTTTTTACATTTTTTATCTCAAGCAGAAACGATATCCAAAATTCACCTACTACTCAGTAGGTACTGCATTTAAATTTACTTCTCGACCAATAGAAAAGTATGTTCTATACATAATGAATGTGAGTAGAATATGATTGAAGCTCGGTCGTACTACATCCGCCGTTTTATCATGTTTACATGGTGCATCATGGGATAGCGTAGCATCCATTAGACACGCACTTCAGAATCTCGCTGGTAGTAGAAGGTCATCCGGGTACTTCTCGCATACTATTTTTCAATTTCTATAAATTCAGACATACTACTCAGCTCACATACTGATTTTAGCGTACTATTTAGTATGGAAGTATGCAATTTCTGATAACAGAACATTATGTTAGCTGACCAATCAGAGCCTCTTGAGGGCGGGCCTTTTGGAGGAACTAGGAAATATGGCAGTCGTTTTCATGTTAGCTGAGTGTAGCCGAATATAATCTAAGTAAGACATATGAACAAACAACATCATTTTCTACAACTGAAGCATTAGCACACATTGCTTTGCATCTTATAAACACAACCAAGCCTTAAAAATACACTCTGGACTAGCCCTATAAAGCATGTTATCCACTCCCTTTAACCGTGGTTTTATAATAAAAGGAGAAATCATGTTTTTAGTGTATTGATTATCAACTTAAAGACCACTACAAATACCACAGGCAAATTATGTATGGTAAAATTACCATGATTTACAACAACAAAAAAGGGTTTTTCTTGTTTTGTAGTAAAACCATGCTTAATTCTAGCACACACACACACACACACACACACACACACACACACACACACACACACACACACACACACACACACACACACACACACACACACACACACACACACTATAATAGTCATCCTAGCATTAACAGAAAACCCATACAGTTCACAGACTAATAACAGGTACCCTGTTGTCACATTACAAGCTGCTGATGATTTAACTTAATTTAAAACCAGAGAGGAAATAGAGGGTTTATTAGCACCGCAACACAGCACAGTCCATGTGATTAGTTAAAATTAATGAAACTAAATGAAAGAAACAAAAATCATACATATTGTGCCTTTCAATCAGCAGTCATTTGTCAAAACCCACCTAACCAGCTTATGAAGTTCTTTTCAGTTGATCACAGGTAAATGAACAAGAAGTTCTAAAGAAAAGCGCTTTAAGGGATGGATCACCCAAAATAAATGATTCTGTCATTATGTAATCAGGTTTACTTGTTTAAAACCTTTATGAGTTTCTTTCTTCTGTTGAACACGAAGAAGATATTTTGAAAAATGCTGTAAATCTGTAACCATTGACTTCCATAGTATTAGGTTTTTTTATGGAAGTAGGGCTGCACAATTTATCGTTTCAACATTGATATCGCAAATCTGCAATGTCAAATTGGGATTATAATTAACTAGAAAGCACAGTTCATTCATTTGTTTATTTTCTTGTCGACTTAGTCTCTTTCTTAATCCGGGGTCACCACAGCGGATTAATGAACCTCCAACTTATCCAGCACATTTTTATGCAGCGGATGCCATTCCAGCCGCAACCCATCTCTGGGAAAAAACACAGTTCAGAACATGTGATTTGTGTAGTCGTTGCAACTCTAATTTAATAATATGAAAGACTTTCATTTGGATTAGTTTTTTAAGGCCTTTGACAGTAATATTTCATGAGAATTTAAACTATTTGGGCACAAAAATGTATAAAGCTTGCTGCTTTAATAAATATTAATTGTGTTTATTTAATACAATAAAATAAAGACAATTTCGTGTTATTTTACATTTGATTATTGGATTTCTATACTTCAATACAGTCCAGTTGAAAACCATAAAGAATTGTTCATTAAGAATTGATCTTTGTTATATTTTCATCTGTGCTTTAACTTTATTTTTTTGCACATTTTCATATATTTTTTTGGCAGATTTACTCAACTACAAATGATTCCAATAAATATAAAATTAGGAATCTTTTCCATAGTCATTTTTTTATTCATTTTCGTTTCAGCTTGGTCCCTTTATTAATCAGGGGTCTCCACAGCGGAATTAACCGGCAAATTGTCCAGCATATGTTTTACGCAGCAGATGCCCTTCCAGCTGCAACCCATCTCTGAGAAACATCCATACACACTCATTCACATTCATACACTAGGTACAATTTAGCCTACCCAATTCACCTGTAGCACATGTCTTTTGGACTGTGGGGGAAACCGGAGCACCCGGAAGAAATCCACACAAACGCAGGGAGAACATGCAAACTCCACACAGAAACACCAACCAGCGACCTTCTTGCTGTGAGTCGACAGCATAGTCATCTTGTAAAATTATTTTCATATCGCAATATGTATCACAGAAAAACAAAACACCGCAATGTCAATTTTTTTCAATATTATGCAGCCCTACATGAAAGTAAAGTAAATGGTTACCGTTCAAAATATATTCTTTTGTGTAGACTAAAGAAAGAAACTGAAAGGTTTAGAACCACATGAGAGAGAGTAAATAACAAGTTAAATTTAGTTTTTGGGTGAACTATCCCTTTAACCTTACTACAACTTCACAGAATGAATAGATGAATAGATATACAGCAACATAAATAGAACTACTGGCTATAACATAACCACAGGGTCAACATGTCACAACCTGAAAGACAACAATTATTATCCATAATAAGGGTTCAAAATAATTGGCGGAATTTGAAATTCTTCTTTTTATTTAACTATTTTGACGTCTGAGTGTTTATGTACACTAACTGATCTTAATATACTATGTTAATATGTTGATGTTAATATATAATGGTAACAAAATTATTATTGTACAATAGGATATACCAAAAGTAAAAGGCATAACACGACAAGAAATAAAGGCACAGCAGTCCACTGGGTAAGCGACAGGCTGGTAAATCTCCTAGAAACAAGTTAACATATTAAAAGCTCTTCAACTAATATTTATTTACATAAGACAACTAACGCAGAACTACAATCAATCATCTTAAAATATAGCAGTATATAGAGCATATAGCTACATAATAATATTTTTGTCAGAGCCGACATGCATCATAAAACACTGGCATTTCATTTCATGCGTAACTCGTGATTTCCTGCAACATTTGAACATTCAAGTCAGCGAATTTATTTAGACTTTTTATAAATGTCGACGGTTAAATCTAAGACAGGAGTTTTCTAAGAACTTCTATCTGGATAAATTATTAAGCTTTTTAATTTCACTCGAATACCACAGTGCCTCTAACATGTAGAGATTTAGACAGATTTAGACAGCCGATGCGCTCAGTTCTTAAGAAGCAAAAGCTTACAGTGTAGCAAAAGATGTTTTTACCTGTTGTGTTGCTGGGACGATGTTGCTAATGGCTAAAGCAGCATTTGTTCTCAGTTTTCGGGAACAACAATGCGAATTCTGTGAAAAACTTCGACCCTTAACTCCGCCTCTACACAGTCACGAACGTGATCCACTGCACTGGATCAGAATGCAGCCTGGAGGTGACATGGAAGTTTTTTTTCCCCCAAATGTTATAAGAATGAGCACGAGACCCAGTTATACGTCATATCTGTTTTTAATGAATAAGACAAACCTATAGCTTAAAATAACATGCTACTTCATGTTTAAGGGGTATAAATAATTTTGGGTTTGACTGACTGGTTTTTATAACTTTACCAAAACTGACTTAAACATGTTAGATTATGTTTAATGATGTCGAAAACATGGGAAATATGTAGCCTATTGTCAACTCAGATGAGAAGGGTCCTTTATTCATGAACTACTGGTCAAACAAATATGCAAACAACCATATACATTGGATTGGTTTTCATGGCCAAAATGCCAAGATAGTCAAATACATTTAGGTAGGAGAATAATGAGAGAAGTGTTATTAATTTTATTTGAGGATATATCATAAATTATGTTTTTCAAATATGTATATTCAATGTATATGATTGTTAAACCCACTGGAGGGAGGAATTGTCATTGAAAAAGTAAGGCAGAGAGTCATGATATGAACTAATTTATAATAAGGTTAAAGACTGGGGAACAGAAAATCTGAAAAAGGCTTTCCTTTCCTTTGTCACACACTGTGCAGTGACCAGGGTGTTTCTGTATTACTGTATGCAAAAAAAAAAAAAAAAAAAAAAAAAAAAAAAATATATATATATATATATATATATATATATATATATATATATATATATATATATATATATATATATATTTTTTTTTTTTTTTTTTTTTTTTTAATTGCCACAACTATTTGGTCTCAAAAGGGGAAATCAATGGATGTGCCTTTTTGGATCCAAGGGTAGGTCACAGCGCTACCCTGTCTGAGCTGATGGACCAAGGGGCGAACAACAGGGCCCAGAACAGGACACAACTAGAATTAAGTAAACAACTCTCTGGTAAGAAACAAATCAAAACTTTCTAATGAACGTGGGTTTTAAAATCTAATCTGATTTTAAGAAAAGGGGATAAATCAAACTGGCAGGTCTGGTACAGCAGACAAGTTTGAAGGTAAATTAAGATCATGAGTGAAACATCCAGCACTGTGGTCTGCTTTTAGGAAGAAACTGAAAATCTATGGGTAAATTAAAAAAAATGTGCATGCAGAGCTTTATCTGTTGGATCTGAGGTGAAAGGTCTGAACTGGGACAGCATGGTGGCACAATGGGTAGCTCAATCGCCTCACAGCAAGAAGGTTGCTGGTTCAATTCTCAGCTGGGTCAGTTGGCATTTCTGTGTGGAGTTTGCATGTTCTTCACATGTTCGCGTGGGTTTTCTCCAGGTGCTTCAGTTTCTGCCACAAGTCCAAAAAACATGTGCTACAGGTGAATTGGGTAGGCTAAATTGTTCGTTGTGTATTTGTGTAAATGGTTGTGTATGAATGCTTACCAGTGATGGGTTGCAGCTGGAAGGGCATCCGCTGCGTAAAACATGTTGGCTGTGGCGACCCCTGATTAATAAAGTGACTAAGCCGAAAAGAAAATGAATGAATGGATGAAGGTCTGAACTGTTGGAGACATCCAATAGATTAATAGGCACAGAAACAAATTTACAGAGAAAGAAGACAACTGATATGCAGAGGAAGCTTGCCAATTATGATACACCGGTCTTTTTAATGATACAATTATATGGCCAGAAATACATGTAAGATATAGATAAGCTAATTAAGTATCATGATTTTTTCTAAGAGGGAACATTGAGTGTCCCAAAATTAAATGTAGTGAAAGAATCAGTTAAAGAGGGAAGCAGAAAGGATGTTATGTGATACATATGTGTGGAAATTGTAAGCAGACAGTGAACTGTTGGATAGATGAGACAGATAAGAGAGAAAGTACGACAATGCAAAAAGAGCTGGCATTCAGAAATGAAAAAGAAAAAAAATGAAAAAGTGACTTTGAAATTGACCTTGACTGGTTTCTACCAACAAGACCAACAGCACCATGGACAGAATCAGTGTGGAAGCAAGAAACAGAGGACGACCCTGAGGTAATTCCTGAAACCCACAATGAAGAATCTGAAAAGTTGGTCTGACTGTGAATGATTCGACAAAAGAAGAGATGACCCATTGGCCAAACCCTGATGGGGGAGGTGACAAATTTTCCACCAAACAGGTCACGTTCTGCCAACTGAGAAGAACTAAGAAGGCTGGAAACTGGAAGCCTCGAGGTGTCATAAAGTGAGAGGAAAACTGCAAAAGGAAGATAGTCAGAAAGAACACAGTAACTGGTAAAACATGGCCAATGCGGGATACCACAGAGCTGACTGAAGCTATAAAAAATAGCACTTCAAGTGTGTGTGGACAAAGAAAAGATTGCCATCTGCTGCCAGAGCAAAGAAGAGTCTGTTAAAGATTATAATAAATGACTATGAAGTTTTCAACAAGCACAGTGGCTTAAGACAGCCCGACAACAGAACAGTTCAACCTGACATCTGGGAGTGTCACCTGCGGAACTGGTTACTGGGTTTACTGAGACCAGAAATCGCTCAAGCAATGAAAACCATACAGTGAATGGAAAAATGGAAGATGTTAACACATGCCGTACACAGAAGAACAGCAAGCAGTGAATAGAGAAATAAACTAAAGCTAGTACTGACAGAACATTGCAAAGGGGCTTATTTCAAGCCTCAATGCGACATTGTGGGTCTTCAGTTACCTCAGCAGACAAGAAGGGGAAGAGGAAAAGGAAGCGCTGATGGGAACTCTCTGGGAAACTCTCTATAAAACAGAGCGGGGCTGTTTTATCTGTGGAACTGATGATCATGCGACCAGGAAAGGCACCAAATGCAGACTGTGTAAGAATGAAGGTTACTAAGGCAATGAATGTCTGGAAAACCTGAAAAATCAAGAAGTAGACTGAAGCAAGGAAGACGTAGAGAAGAGAAGAGGGTCCTGTGTAGGTGTAACGGAGGCCAGCTAGTAGGTGCTGTGCATGTAAACCTCACTCCTCTGACCTCTGTGGAGCGCTAGTGACAAAAGAGAGGCTATGGTCTTTGGCCTCCTTGATTGAGCAACCGACTCTCATGTGTAAGGCCGCCGGTTCGATACCAGCTCGGAGCGGGTTGGGTGGCGTAGAATCAGCGAGGTTACATAGGCATGGGACGATAACCTTTTTCAAGGTATACCGCGGTTTGAAAAAGTTTTAAAACTGTTTTAAAACCGCCAAATTTTTCTGTAATACTGTTCCTAAGGTATGTGTAATTTTTTTATTTACATTTCTTTTCGTTTTTTAGGACAACAGTATCTCCAGCAGGAAAAATATATATTAAAAGATGCCGTTTTAAATTGTACATAAACCTGTGTTTTTGAAGCTATTGAAGACAGCAAAAGTCAATGATTGATTTAAATTATTTAGCCTGACATGTTTACTGTAACAAAATACTATCAATTCTTAAATATATATATATAATGCTTTCAAAGGGGACAAAAGTTTTTATTTTTTATCCACACATTTAAAAAGAATATTTCTTAGAGCAGTGATCACTATACCGTGATACCGCGAACCCGTGCTATTTTTATCTAAGGTTATCCTACTGTCAGAATCTTATACCGGCCCATGCCAAGTCCTGTATGAGTAGCCAACAGCGAAAGCTCATAGAAGACAACATTTATGAACTGCACACATACACCGATTTATACACGGCTCTCTGCAAAAAAAAAAAAAAAAAAGCTTACTTCTTTGTATGTTTCTGATTTGAATAATGATGAGATTTCTGATAAATGTTTAATGATGTAGGAAAGTGGAGGATTTTTAAACACACCTTGTGGAAGGACTAATAAATAATTGTTGAAAATACGTGATTTTCAGCCGACATTTTTGGATATATTTTAAGATATATGCATGTGCTTCTTTTACATGTTCACAAGATGAAAAGGCTTGTTGTACAGATCATGTGGGGAACCTATGACCTAATCCCTTATCTAAACCCAGAGGTGGTCTTAACCAATAAGCGAGGTGAGCAGCCACTTAGGGTCCCAGGGAATTAGGGGGCCTGACCAATATTAAGCCTATATTAATCAAATAACTCATTTATAATTTTTCCATCCTATGTTGTAAAATTTCTTCATAATCATTAAGATTTTAATGTTATAACTTATTTTTAACCTTCTCTTTCAAACAGCCGTCAGATGATGAGCACTGTGAGTTTGGTAAGAGATGGCCTGCTCAAATAAAAGATAATTCCCAGTGAACAGTAACAGCCGACGATTCACAAAAAGTAATTATTCAGTTCATATGAAATATGGTGAAAAAGTTAGTTTGATTGATTGGGAATTAAATTTGATTAAGTTTTACATTAAGATAATACAGGAGCTTCAAGTCATTGAAATTGAATACATTGATACACAAATATCTCAAATATGGCTAATTGACTGTATAGTTAATTTGTGAACTTGTTTTTTATTTGTGAATTGAATGTATTTAATTTTTCATTAAGAAGATAAAGATTCCACTTCAAATATATTTTAAACATGCTATTTTTTTAACCAAAATAATAATAAAAATAATCTAAAGAGAAAGAGGGTGATGAGTTTCAGTGCTAGAGCTCTGGAATTGCTTAGGGCCCCCAAATCATTAAGTTTGCCAACGCCTAAACCAACCAATAATGTTTTCAAATTAAACATACAGTTAAAAAAAGTCAATCAGTTCAAGTCTTCACCAGACTTGGAATGGGTGAGTTACTGAGCAAACTGACCACACTGGAAAAGTTGTCCATATAGAGATAGGATAGGAAAGATATGAAACCCATTTGATTACAAATCATAGACACTTTTAAGTTGTTTTGTGGTATTTATTTAGTATTGTGCAAAAACAATACTAAAAACAACTTCATTCATTGACAATATTTCATTAGTATGAAAAGGAACAAA